TTTAATTAATTAGTCCTTTTGTTCGAATCTTTCTTTATTTTCAATATTCATAAATAAAAAATAAAATAAAATAGTTTAGGCTCGATTAATAACTATTTGGTTCTTTATTTTTAATTTTTTAAAAACAGAATTGAACCCATTCAATTGTTTTTTTTTTCTTTCAAAATCTACTTTGAAATTGTATGTAAATTTCAATAACAAAGAAAAGTAATTTTAAAAAATAAATTTATGGTTTTTCAAAAAATTTAAACTTTTTTTCTTTCTAATATTTATCTCTAAACAATTTAATCTTCCCTCTAAATTTTCTTTATTTCTAAATTTCTCTCTACAAATTTTATTTTTCTTTCTCTAAAATTTAATTATTATTTATCTCTCTCTAGATTTTTCTATATATTTTTTTAAAAACCAGTTTCATTTCTCTCTATAAAAATTTAATATTTTTTCTAATTTTTTTCACTCTAAAATTTTGACATTTATAACTTTTCTTTCTCTTCGTAATCTACTCTTTCCTCTAAATTTGTTTCCAACATAATTTTTCTCTTTCTTTATAATTTTTTTAATATATCCCTCCCTCTCGACTATTTTTTTTCTCTAATTTTTTTTTCAGTTTTTGTTTTAACTTTTATTTCACTAATTTTTTTTTCTAAATCCTTTTATTTATCTCTCTAAAATTTATCTTACAAAAATTTGTTTATATCTCTCTAAACTTATATTTTCATGTCTCTGCATTAAGGGATGACAAAAATTCCCGCAAGGTCGGGTCCTAAAAATAGGAAATACATGTCCCGACCTCATTCTCGTATATTTTATAAATAATTAATCGGAACTGTTTTATAAATAATTAATATATATTTATTACACTTTTTTATACTTAAATTCTAAAAATAATTAAAAACAATTATAAGATCGATAATTTTTCTCAAGAACTCGAAGAACGTGGTAGAGACGGGAACTAAAAATTTTCACAAACACGACAAATAATGTTACGAGTGATTAACTTATAATACCAGGTTTTGGATTTCGCTGGTACCGTAGAATATGTTGGGGCTGAGTTCGTTTTAGCAATAATAATAATAAGAAGAATTGAATTACTTGTTGCTGTATTTTTAGAAGGATTTTAAAAGTATGTTATTAATTACATTATAAAAAGAAAAGTAAACATGGTCTACATTCTCCTTTTTAATTGAAGCAACATTGTACAACTTTATTTAAATTAATAAATTAAGTATAAAGATAAGAGATGTAAAAGAGAAACACAAATTTCACTCAGAACGAATATTTTTTACATTATATTTGCATTTGACTTTAATTTGAATTTTTTGTGAAAATATTTATTCTTCGTAGTCGATATCCTTTCCAATAAGGAAAAAAAAAAGGTAAAGGTAAAGTTGTTGGGAACAAGATATAAAAGAAAATAATTATATAAAAAAAATGTGTAAGGATAATGAGAATTATTTCTTTTTGAGTGTGAGGATTAAATTTTTTTTTTCTGATATAGGTGAGAATTAATTAAATTCAATTGAAGTGAATTTGTAAAATGAAAATATTAAATTGAAACCAATCTTAAGTCATACGGTAGAAAAACGGTAATTATTTGGTAAATTTGAGCGCGAATGCAAACTGACTCCATCGCACTACCGTTTACAGTCTTCACCGCCGACGGCCATTATCGCCGGCAGCAATTCACCGCCGGCGTTTTCCGTATCCCGAGCTTCGCGGTATCGGTGAAATTAAATAATGTCTATTTTGGCAGGTTCGTCATAGAGAACTCAACAGTCTGTTCACAGTCACCGGCCATGTCCTCGGTGAGTTCTTTTGGTGTTTTCTAGGCGCATTACTTTTTTTTTCTTTTCCCCATTTTCTATGTTCGGGGATGAGAAAGCCGTTGAGAAGAAACAAGAGAAATCCCTCCGCCTATCAAGAAAAGGTAAGATGTGTTGTTCGAGAAATTCTTTCACCTAGATTTGGCTCCGAATATATTATTGCAAATTGTGTTTTGTAGATTAAAATAATATTTTCAATCGCTAATTGCAATCATCGGGAAATTGAATGATTTTTCATGTTTGTGCAATTGGAGTAAGATATTTAATCGTTCTGTACTTTCAGAGAGAAAATGGGGAAAAGTTTTGGACCATTTTACCTACGGAATCTGAGTGTTTGAAGATGGTTCTGAATAGAGCCATTAGGTGAATTGAAGTTCATTTTAATCCGATTAAAGAACATTAGTCTGCAATTGTACTCGAATGGCTTTGGCAATCGCATTCTCTTTTCCCTTTTAGCTTCTGTGAGCAACAACACTGTGTGTTTGGACCCTGTATATTTTGGGGTAAAATCGTGCAACTCTTCATATGGGCTTAACGTGTTCTAACTTCTAAGACTATCTGAGTAGAGAAATTGAAGTTCTTGGTGTCTGTCACGCGCCTACTAGTTAGCAAGGGCAGAAACAGCATTGGCTAGAATACACGAAGTGGGCCACTCTCATTGATGCCATCGTTTACATTACCCTCTGAAAAGTCACTGCTACCTTTATTTTGTATAGATTATACCCCTCCACTTAAGGGTTTTTTACATTTCCACTCCCACACACACTCTCTCCCTTCCTCTCTCTCTCTCTTTCTGTGTGTGTGTGTGTGGTAGTGAGAGCCTCCTTCTGGCCACCATCTCTGAGCTTTGTAATCATGTCTAGTGTTATGGCTGTTTTGGCTATTGGGCTCCTTATTCTGGCCATGACTGGCCATTCAGGTAAGCTCCCCTGCATTTTCATGTCTCTTGTTCTCTACTTTTGTAGTGTAGAACCAAAGATATGTGCTGGTTTTTTTTATTATTTCTCCCTGTAGTTTGACTTCTCATGAATCTTTTTGCTGATTCGAACATTTTGCTTGTGAGCCATTTTTGAAGGCTGTTTAAAAATGTTCCCAATGTGCATTTGACCCTCTTTTCAGAAATGTATTCAATACATCTTCTAGTTTTGGTTCACCTTTATGCAGTTATTTCCCTTTTGTTTGAAAAGAGAGATCTTTATTTTTTCAGTTTGAAATTTGTTGTTCTTTTTGGATGAGTAAGGGGTATAATATTTCTGCGAGTTTCCAGTACTTCTAGAGTTTCTTGTAGATGTCTAGATCTCGTTGGATTTGGTTTATTTTCTTCTGTTTCCTCCACAGTACTTTGTTCCTTCTGGCTCTCTCTTGAAATGCTGGTTTCTGGAACTTGTAGGCGCAACATGGTGCATTTGCAAGGACGGAGTGAGTGATGCAGCTCTTCAGAAAACACTGGACTATGCGTGTGGAGCTGGGGCTGACTGTGTCCCTACTCATCAAAATGGGGGCTGTTTCCTTCCCAATACTGTCAAGGCACACTGTTCCTTCGCCACCAATAGCTACTTTCAGAGGAAGGGCCAAGCTCCAGGTTCCTGTGATTTCTCTGGCACAGCAACGATCACTACTACTGACCCCAGTAAGATTTAGCTGTCTACCTCCACATGTTTTTCTCTAGTTCCCTCCACTGTAAGAGAAGATTTAGTTAGTTGAGATCTGAATAATTTCGAGAGAGGAAAAATGGAAAAAAACCCTTCTCGGACTTAACTAGGATTCTAGTTATAGGCCAGAAATTCTAACCTTTTTGGCAATCTATCTGAGGTATCGAATCAAAGCTCCTTACCCATCTATTTCAGCTACCAAATTAAATATATATATATATGTCTTGGTTCAACTACCTGAAGCTTAAATGTTACTGTAGCATAAGCATGATGTGGTAATCTTCAGTAACGAGTGAATGAAATCTGATTTCCATTGTTATTTCTTGGTTTTTTTTTCCTTCTTTTCAGGTGTTGCAGGTTGCGCTTATCCTTCCAGCGCTAGGTATGGTTCTGTATCTACCTTCACTATGTTTTTTTGAAACAAATAGAAAGGTATGAATAGTAAAATTTATTCCCATTTCTGTTTATGGCAATCGCTTTATTAGAATAAAGTTTTCTCAATTCTCAGATTCATTCCAAATCCAAGAATGAATTCTGAATCTGGAGGACAATGACATTCCCTCCAGAGTCAGTGAGATTGAAAATCTCATTCTTACGTTCTCATTTCGTGAACTCCATCTCTTTGAAATGAAATAAAATTATGGTTAGTTTTATTCTTCCTCTTGTATCGACTACAATCTCGTACATTAGTAAAAGGTTTACGATATTTTACTTCATTTGATGTTTTATTTTCATTTGAACAAACACTGAGCCTTTTTACTTGAATAGGAGCAGAGCGTCTTGTTAATTAAAAACTCAAAACACAATTTCCATGATGGCCACCTACCTTAGGAATTAGCAATTCCTATGTGTTTCCTGGCACCAAATGTTGTGGGATCAGGCGGTTGCCGCGTGAGATTAGTCGAGGTGTGCGTAAGCTGGTCCGGACACTCACAGATATCAAAAAAATAAAAAAAAAAATTTAAAAATTAGAAACTCAACAACAAAAATCAAAGTTAACTCTCGATAATCATAGATACTGTAGGAAAAGAGACTTTTGCCATTAGATTCGCCATCATCCCATTGTGGTGTAATAATTGATACTCTTTTTGTCAATTGACTATTTTGTAATTTCATGACCATTTTTCTGGCTTCTTCGCTTACATTACCGTTTTTCAAACTTTCACTTTCACCCAAGAGGTTATAATTGTGACTCCCATGGTTATCTTTTAACACATAATTACCCCTTATCAGTAAGTAGACAAATTTTGTTAAAAAAAATTATGCCGGGCTGAAAATGGAGCCTTTCTTTGGTAATTTGCATCTGATTTATCATTTATGTTGCGTCATTGAGATGGGAAATTATCGAGATTTGAGCCAACATTTTAATGCCTCGAAAGGGAAGCCCAGACTGACCATAATTTTTGGAGAAAAGGATGAAGGTTGCTGAAGTAGTTTGTTTTCTCGAGGAAGAACTGTTGTCTTTTCTCTTGGAGCTAATTTGAAATGTTCTTGTCAAAAACTGGTTATTGTGTGAGGTTATTTTTACAGGTAGAAAGAATGAGATGAATCTTTAGATCCCTCATTGCTTATGCATGATCAACAAATGATGACAACTTTTCTTCTCTTCATAAAGAGGTAGAAAATGAAAAGCTAGTTTATCCAAAACAAGGCCTTAACTTTATTAGTGAATCCAAACCCTTTTTCTAATGAGTTTTCTGTTTTCATAAAGTGGGATTCATTTCATTTTGGTAAATCTGTTGTTGCAGCCCTGTAAGCAGTGGCACCATTCCAGTAGGAGGAACTCCAACCACCACCAACCCAGGATTGACTCCCACAACCAACACTCCCATGGGTGGTTCGGCAACGCCCACCGGTGTCCTAGGCGGGAACGGGAACGGGTTCGGTGGCGGCAGCAACAGCCTAGGGCCATCGGGGGTCGGCGGGATGAGCACCGACTACAGCGACAGTGGATCAAGGCTCCAACTCACCCTCATTGGCAATGTAGCTATTTTTTTCTTCACTCTCTTGTGTGTTGGGCGTATGTTTTGATGGAGCTGTGGTGGCTTTAGTTGATAATGGGTGAGGTTGGTAAAGGGTCAGATTGGATTCGAAAATGTAGGGTGGCTCGCATGTGATGTTCCTGTTCTTGCTGTACTCGTTTTGCTCTTAGACAGCTTTGCTTTGTTTGTTTGTTCTTTCCCCACCCCTCCACACTCTTTCCCACTTGGTAAGAAAAGAAAAAAAGTTGGGCTTCTCATCCTTTTTGGATGGATTTTCTTGCTCCAGTGGGACCCACAGAATACTCTCTCTTTCTTTCTCTGTGTATGTTTTTTAATATTGCATTTAGGTGCGGGAATTTAAACCTATGATCATTTAGAAAACGGTTGGGATGCAGATTTGATATAAGTCTCAAAATGTTGAATTTGAGAATTCAAATGGAACGTGGTCTAGGAGGCTTGAGTTTACGAAAATTGTGGGAATGAGTGTGTCTGGACTCTGGAGAGACGAGTAGGTTTGGAGTACGTGATAAGTTTGTCCAACAAACTCTCACGAGCAAATCTATACTCTTCTGCAAGCACTCTTACTTAAGTATGCTGCGTTTTGTTCGATCTAAGATGGTCATGTTTATTGAGTTTTCCCCTGCAAAATTGAATGATTTGATGTATGATTATTTAAGTATTATAATTACAAGTCGTGAGGAATCGTTTTCAAGATATATTGTTTTTAATTTTTAGAACAATAATTTAGTAAATTTGTGTTTGGAGTTAGACAATTTTTATATGTTTGTATTTGAAAAAAAAAATGAAGCATATATTCTTTTCTATCATTTAACGCCAGATAGGCAAATACACATGTCAGGTCCATCAATATTCTTTTTTTTTTAATATAAATAAGACAAATAAAAAAGATAAATAGATGGTCACGTGACGCCCATCTCTCTCTCTCTCTCTCTCTCTCTCTCTCTCTCTCTCTCTGCAACTGTTTTTGGGATTTATTCGTCATTTTGTTTCTCTTATCCTAATTTCTTGAATTTCATGTTAACATCAAATTTCAAAGCAAATTCAATATTATTTTAATCAAAAATCAAATTCAGTGATCTGATGCCAACGTGAGCTAACCTCTAACGCTAATTGACATCTATATATGTCTAATAAGTTGAGTTCGGATCTCCACTCCAATTTATTGTATTAAAACAAATTATGATATATGGAGTGATGATGGTTCATTTTGGTGTCTATACTTTCAAAACTTTATTTTGGTCTTTATATTTTTAACTTTTGTTTGAAACGTTTTTTTTTTTTCAATTTTGTCCGGCAAATTTTATTTTTATCCCATTTATTTCAATCAAATTTTAGCCTGACACTTCACTCGTATTTTTTTTTCAAATGTAGAACATTTCGTGTTGAAAATTTAGGGACCATGATGATCACTTTTTATAAATAGAATGATCAAAACGGAAGTTTTGAAAGTAGATGGACTCAAGTGAACAAAATTTAAAAGTACATAGATAAAAATATACCTTTTGGAAAACTATAATAGTTGGGATAACAACACAGCTAAAAATGCAGCTAATTTCGTAAAAATGTCTAAAAATTATAATATTTACAGATTTGTCAAAATAGAGGCTCCTTTGTGATGGGTTCCACAGGAAAATTACCAAACTACCCATATTCATATATTTTTAATAAATGAATAAAATCTCAAATCTTAGGTCGACCAACGGGAGATAATTTATCTTTTTAATAAAAAAAACAAAACCTTAAACTCTAAAAAAGTAATATATGCTAGAAAATAAAAAAAGTGTGAAAAATTAAGCCAGAATAAGTGCATTTATTAGTTACTATATTTGTTTGATTATTTATTAAAAGACTTATCATTTATTTATTAAGGTGAATATTTTTATTACCATCAATAATAATACGTTTGAAAATATAATAATAAATGTAATAAAACGATATTTAATGAGGGTAATTTGAAAATAATTATTTAAATCTTGAAAATCTAAATTTATAAATATTAAAAGAATAGATATTTTTATATCATGTGTACTATAAGACACTAAAGATAATTTATGTGATTGTAACTAAGTACCGTTTAAGCTAAAGTGAGTATAGTTCATCGATCGAATGTTGTGCTATGGAAAAAAACTAAGTGCCGTTTAAATGTGATGTTCTCGGGAGAAGATAAAGTGAAGAGACACTCGGCCCATTTGTAATGGGCCGGTTTATAGTGCACCTGAGTATCATGTAAAGTTCAATCACAGGCTCACGGCGAGGCAAGAAACGATCTTTTTTGGGGCCCTTCTTTTGTTTTTCCATTTATTTTATTTTATCTTTTGTCTTTTATGTATTACTTTAGTTCCCTCTAAACAAAATGCTAATTCCATTAATACGAAGAATAACACCATATCAATAATATTAACTCCTATAATAAAATTGTCAGGATTGATGAATTGGTTAAAATATAGTTAAAGTGAGTATAGTTTGGTGGTAATTAACATTTATCTCCGATTAAGAGGTTGTGAGTTCGATCCCTCACTCCCACATGTTGTACTACAAAAAATGGTTAAAATATTTCACGTGAGTAGAACTATATTTCATTTTGTGTTCATGTTGATTTTATTTTGTGAATATGGTTCAATTTATAAAAAATACTGTAGCATATCTTTAACCAACAACATATAATACTCAAAATAATCGGTGATCAAACATCTAGGTTGATGACATTTTGTAACACTTTTATGAATATTTTTTTTATTAAGTTCAACTAAAGAGTGTGAGATTCCAATTGAGCTATATGTTTATTTCAGATTTTAATAACCAATTGATTGCATGAGTTTTAGAGATATGCTGACTAAGATGCCTTCATGATTTATAAATTAGATATGTTCGAGTTGGCTATTCATTTCTCACTAATTTTGTCAGAGGTGGAATTAGATACTACCATGTTGTTAATTTTGTTTAGAAACATGTCTATGCCTTAGTTTAGACAACTCGATGACAAGATGAGGCAGACAAATACTTTGCAAAGGCTAATTTTGACACAAGCTAACTAACTTGAAAACACATGTGCAACCTACTACATAATGTCGAAAGGACAAAACAATATTTTCAAAAACTACAGTATAATATACTAGGTCAAGGTACACAATTTATGGGTTTTTTTTAATATTGTTGTAAATAAAATTGTATATTTTAAAATAAATTTTATTTACAAAGTATTAAAAAAAAAACCCCACAATTTATACTCAATCTAACTACATTAAGTTCAATCTCAATTAACTTAAGCTCAAAATATAAGTAGTTGAATATCATAGTAATACATAAATTGAACATCTACTTCAGAGAAGTAGTCGAAACTTGACCTCGTATATAACCCTATATCAATTATCAAAAAGCTTAACAGTGTAAAAACAGAAAAAAAAGAAAAAAAAGAAATGAGGTTATGGGGATTGGAAAAGAAAACGATTGGAGAATGGGAAGTCCATGGGGAAATTTTCATCGAGGCCCAAATACCAAGAAAAGGCAATGAAATGATTGGAGGAGAAGGTTCTGATCGAAACTGGGAAGACTAGACTGTGGCGGTGGACTTAGTTCACCAGCGAGCCCGGGCTGTAGCCGTTTCGTGTTCCCGGCGGACGATTCAAGCGGCTGCACTCCGACAAGGGCACCGGCCGACTGCAGATTTGCGTTTCGAAAAGTTTGGTTAGATATTTGGAACCATGGACGTTCATGACTCCGGAACTAGGGAATTCGATGGCGACAATGGCGATTTCCGGAGGGTAGGGGTTCTGTACGACGAGAGGATGTGCAAGCATCACACACCTGACGGAATTTACCATCCCGAGAATCCTAACCGAATTAGGGCCATTTGGAACAAGCTTCAGAGCGCTGGCATTCATAAGAGGCATGATCATTTTTGCTTTTTTCATTGTATTAATGTTTCCTCGAATGCATGTATAGTGAAAGGAAGCGTGTTTATTTATTTACGTGATGATTAAAACTTTCGTGGAATCGATTAGTCTCTTTCTTGTTTTATGGTGCAGATTTTTTCCCCCTCTCCCAGTCTTGCTTGAAAATATCCAGAATTTGTTGTTTGAGATAGTTCAGTTGAGTATCTCGGGTAAATAGTTAAGCTAGCTTTTCCATTTTTCAGGTGTGTGGTATTGAATGGGAAAGAGGCAGAAGATAAGCACATTTTGGCAGTTCACTCCAAAAAGCACGTTGATTTGATTAGGAATATAAGTTCCAAAGAGTTTGATTCACGAAGAGATAGGATTGCCTCAAAATTGAATTCCATATACTTCAACAAAGGGTCATCTGAATCTGCTTATCTTGCTGCTGGCTCTGTCATAGATGTAATATACGCCGGAATTCTTTTTAGTTGAAACTTTGGCAGGGCATATTTTGCCCGTCATGAATGCTAAGTATCTGAAGTGTGTAGATTTGGTATAATAGAGAAAAGTTGCCTGAATTCTGTTATTTTTAATATAAATTCTAACTATCGTTATTTTGTTAAGGTTGCTGAAAGAGTAGCTAAAGGAGATTTAAATTCTGCGATCGCCATCGTGAGGCCTCCAGGTCATCATGCTGAACATGATGAAGCAATGGGGTTTTGTTTATACAACAATGTAGCTGTTGCTGCAAGCTTTATTTTGAATGAAAGAGTAGGACCACTTTCCAACTATTCCTTGAGCAAATATTTATGGATAATCTTATGATCCTCTACTCTATTGAATGAAGTTTCTCAGTTTTGACTTCATTTGGTCATTAATTTTCATGTTACAGCCAGATTTGGGAATTAAGAAAATTTTAATTGTTGATTGGGATGTTCATCATGGCAATGCAACGCAAAAGATGTTTTGGAAAGATTCCCGTGTTTTGTTCTTCTCTGTTCACCGGTAGGTGGGTAAGAATGTTGGTGTGTTCTTAAATATTCTTTTTATTGACTCAGTAGTCTTGTATTTTCCATTTGTTTTGGCATCCTGAAATCGGCATTACATTCTTGGATTATATATTTCCCACCGAGAATATTACCCTTAACGTAATTGGTAAGATGTGTATGGCATGCATGCACAGTGCTCTCTCTCCGGCTCTCTTTTTTCAAATATTAATTTTTATTTTTATAAGAAACTACTTTCGTTAACTATGAAAGAATACAAAAAGAGAGGATATGGCACCTTCCATAAAAATGCCCCGGATCTTACAAGTCCACTGGCCTAATAACTAAAACAGGGTAGTTACAAGAAGTTCTCTTTCGAAGCTAGCACATTCACCATTTACCAAACGAGATCATTATCAACAAACACATCTTCAAAAGTTCTATTTCATTCTACCCAAAGTTCCCAAAGAAGAGTTTTAACTAGAGTGTTGTTCCACAAAACTTTCTTCTTCCCTTGGAAAGGTAATCCACGAAAAGCTTGATCAAGAGTTTCTTTGGTCGTTCTATGAAAGCAGCATTGATTGCCAAGTTTTTATAGCTGGGATGCCACCAATTGAGGGCAAAAGTCACAGTTTGAAAGAATATGATTCCCCCCCCCAAAAAAAAAATCCACCGGCTAGGAGATTTGGATATTGGGATGACTTTTCTGTAATTCATTTGAAATAATTCAACCCAGCAAAGAAACCATTTGAAGTAGTTCCTAATATTAGGAAGTTCTGATTTCCATATTTGTTTGTGCAGCTTGGTAGTTGAGTTATGATCACTGTCATCAGTAACGTGCCAACATTTGTATTTTTCTCTGAACACAGGCATGAATTTGGAAGTTTTTATCCGGCCACAGATGATGGTTTTTATACCATGGTTGGAGAAGGATCTGGAGCAGGATATAATATAAATGTTCCATGGGAGAATGCACGATGTGGGGATGCCGACTATCTTGCAGTTTGGGATTGTATTTTGCTTCCTATTGCTAAGGAATATAATCCCGATATGATCATAGTCTCTGCTGGATTCGATGCAGGTCTCATGCTACTAACTTGAGATATTAAATTCCTCCTCCTCCCTTCACTTATGTTTCATGGTTTTCCAAAGCCCTCTAAGGTGGTTTGTGGTTGAAAGAGGCATTAGATTGGTATCGATTCCCTGTCTCTTTAATCTTTCCTTTCAAAAAGAACCGTTTGTTAATTTGGTCTTATTCTCTAACGATGGCTCTCAATTTTCTCATCCAATCAACTTTTTAAAAGTTCTCTAGATGAAGGAATCTTGCATTCATGTCTGGAAGACTATTAGATTTGTATTGATTCTCTTCTTAATTTCTTTCTGGAAGGCCTCCTTTTCTCATTAAGATTGGAGACCTTTTGTAAAAATCCCCTTCCTAGGCTGAGGGACTTCTCATTCCTAAGGCCTTTAGATTGTTCTATTGTTTTGTTGGATCTTATTCACCTTCTTCATTCCTTGTAAACAAAAAGGTGCTTCTTAATTTGGTTTTATTATCTAATCATGGCTCTCCTCTGGATTTATATCTTCATTTTTGGTTTTTACGAAAAATTATCTTTTCCAAACTTTAGAGGCTCTTGTACGTGGACTCTTAAGCCTTTGAACCTGACACCTCTTCTTGCTCATTTGTTGACCCATCCGATCTCTCCTTTTCTTTGAAATTCTTTGGAAGGCTAAAATTCTGAAGAAGAGTAGGTTTTTGGTTGATTGGTTTAGGGAAGAACAATAATATGGACTTTGTCCAACGTCTATAGTTTCCGGTCTTGGTTTTTCATAAAAAATGAAAAGGAAAAAAAAGAGAGAAAAAAGTTTTTGGGGTCTCAATGGTGCTTGGGCACTCGAAGACTTGGATCATCTATTTTGGTGGTGTCGCGCTATGAAAATTTGGGACATATTTCTTGAAACATTCTCTACCAGAGATTTTTGGGTCACGATGGAGTGAGGTTTTTTACTAATTGAGTGAAAAGAAGTAATAGAAAAAAGTGGATGGCATTTTTGAAATTATCAAAAAATTTGAAAGGTGAAAACTTTAAAATATGGTTTTCTACCCTTCTCCATTTTAATATTTCAGTTATAGTAATATCTTTGATCGGAAAGCATTTAGATGTATGAATAACTATTTCATGCTCGGAACAGCTGTTGGTGATCCTCTGGGTGGTTGCTGTGTCACACCATATGGATACTCAATTATGTTGAAAAAGGCAAGTGTTCAATCCATTCTATTTTGGATTTGCTTTCACAACAGTTTCTTGTTTACTGGATATAGTTTCGTAGCGTGTCTCATATATTTGAGGCTTAAATTACAATTTCTGTAGTGCTGCATATGTTTGTTCGCTCAAATACCTTCCTGGGATGTGTTCATTAGGCAGTTATCCAGTATGTAATTTTACCATGCCCCCATACATCTGATCAAGACTTAGAACTGGTATTTGAATTCTTATTTATAAGCATAGTTACTTAATATCCCTTCTCAGGCAGTTGATTTATGCTAAACAGAACAGAAAGAAATAATCATAATGGTGAATCTGAAGTTCAATGGTTATTTTGTAAAATATTAAAGAATTGATTTGGATGGGAGCTCTAGAGATGATGTTTTTTTTTTATTTATTTTTTTTAACAAGATACAAATTTTTCATCGATTAATGAAAATGAACAAAAATTGTTTAAACATACAAACTCGTAAAAGAGTGAAAGAAAAGCAAGGTTCTGCATTGTGGTCAGGTCACCATATCCAACCCAACTTAGATTAAACTCCTCTAGAAGAAAGGACCAAACTCCTCTATAGATGATGTTGTTTAAAATATACATTTGAACTCCAGGATAAAATCACTTTCCAGGGTTCTATATTGTGGTCACTGTATCCAGCGTATGGTCTAGACTATTATTCATTTCTCCTATTTAATTTTCCTGATATTTCTAGCAATGAAGCTTATAAGTCTCCTTTGCTTATCTATTTCGTTGTTTAAATAATGAATGAAGATTTTAGGATAAGCTCAGCATCTACAGAAAAAGGAAAAAATATCTCTCGCTTGTAATGTGTCTTCTTGATTATAGTCATGTCTGTTATCTTTGCTGGCCATCATCTTGCAATGCCTTATAAAATTGAGGTAATGGTAATGCTTTCATGTTTTGTATAAAATAGATTAGCAAAGTTTTGATGGTACCATTATCACCCGTGTCTTTCTCAGTTGATGAATCTTGCCCAAGGAAAGATTGTATTGGCACTGGAAGGAGGATATAACCTTGATTCCATCGCAAGTTCGATGCTTGCATGTGCGGAAGTTTTGCTCAATGGAAGAACTATGAATAAATCTTCAGAGACTTATCCATTTGAGTCAACATGGCGAGTGATCCAAGCAGTGAGCTCACACTGATTTTTTCCACCCTTCCATTTTTCTCTCTTACCTTGGGTTGGTTAGAGCTATTTTTGTCAGTCAACTCCTTTTTCCTGCTTTGGTTACGTGAGAGTACTAATGGCAATGGGATATATTGAGAATATTATTAGAATCAATGCTTTGGTTATTATTCAATGTTTCTGTTTCACAAGAGATTTTAGCTATAGACATCTTGTTCTATAAAAACCTTGTGATCCCTGGCAGGTTCGAAAAGAATTGAGTCCTTTTTGGCCAATGCTTTCGGATGAATTACCAGATGATTTGATCAGTAAAAAAGCGCCACTCCCGGTAATGCCATATTTTCTAACCTTTCACGATTGTCTTATAAACATTATGTGAATCTCTACTGAATCTGATTGGATTTGTGTTATTTAACAATATATATTAAATAATTGTCTGAATTTTGGAGTGACACACAATTATATTTATAGTATAATGTGCCAATGCTCTCAAAATAACTCTCTACATGAATCATCTCAACTAATAAATGATCCTTTAACTTAATGTAAAGTAGAGAGACTGCTCTTACTGACTTTTGTTCAAAAAACTGTTTGAGTTAACTTGTTTCATGTTGGTACTTGCAAACAAGAATATTGAAGGAAAAATGAGGACCAAAAAGATATGTACATGGTAATATGGGAGAAAAGTTGGACGCCAATAAGGGGCTTGTCGAACACCTTCCAACTAGATCTAAGTTCGTTCAGATTGAAGGGTGGGTGGAAGCATTTACACCAACCAAGAGCTAAGACTATAAATCTATCAAAAAAAATTGTCGAACACCCAATGATGTCCAAGTCTGATTAGGACTTCTGTTGGCAAAGTTCAATAATAAGTAGAATTGTGTACTTGGTAAAGATTAGCCACGTCCATTTAATTAAAGGGAATGATGATGACTTCTGCCGATTGTACCGAGCTGTCAAGAACAAGACCCTTGGTGCCTAGGAATATGCTTCAAACTTTGACACTTACTGAGGGTGAGATTTGAAAAGATTTGGAGGTTGATCTTCCTTCTTGCTTGTTTGAATATCAAATCGAGTGTGGAGCTCACACTTTATGGAGAGCCTATTGCATCCTTCTCTTGGGCAAAAGGGAACGTCACCCAGAGGACGGACTCATGCCCTATTAAGCTTCTTGGGCTCATATTTGTGGACCTACTGATCCTACCCTACGAGGGTTTGGTGTACTTATCTTTTAAAGATGAGCACTTGTCTTGTGAGACCCAATGCCCAACCTTATGGCTGCCATGCTCTTTTGAGATGGTCACTTGCCCAGTTGAGACTCTGTGGATGAATGCTTATCTCATCAAATCTGGTATGTTCATCCTACCATATCTTCTAGGACGAGCACTTAAACTATTGAGCCTTTTTGTGCTCATCCTGTCATGCTGTTTCGAGGATGATTACCTATCATGTTGGACTTAGAATGCTTATCTGATATTGTTAAGTTAGGTAGGTCAGAAAATGGAACTCTTGATTGGTTCGCATGATATTACTGTTGGGTGGCACCCAAGTGTGTAACTCTTCAGTTTCACCCATAATAAGGACATTGTACAGTAATTTTATTTTTCCTCCGGTCTTCACATATAGAATTTGAATTATTAGAGTAAGTTGCATAATTATCTTCCTTTATTAAATTGCACACATTGACTATAGCCAGCACTTCGAACTCAAAAAAAGATGAAAAGAAAGAAAGCAACTGCCAGCACTTATTTACTACATGTTGAAAGTCCAGTAACGTGATAGGGATGAAATGGATCAATATGCATGGAGATGAAACTAATCTATTTGTGATATATTTCAAATTGTTTGGGTATCTTGTCTATTGCTCTCTCTCTCTCTCTATATATATATATTTGATGAAGGGGTCCGTTTTGTCAGCGTTCTACAGCACAAGATAATCCTGCTAAATTTGTTCTTCAAATTAACAAGCAGATTTTGATTTCAAGCTCGGATTCGGAGATCGAGGATGATGAAGCTTCTAATGCTGGATTAGAAACACTTGAGGAAGTTCTTCGGGGTATGACACTTTCACAATCGGAAGTGAAGGAAGATAGTCAAGGTAAAGAGCACTAAGATTAGCTTTCTGAGTTTATATTTTGTTGGTCGCCTTGCGAAACTCTTACATTTTGAGTTTTCGCCGTTCACTTCTCCATTCCAAAGTTGCGTCGCGCAATCAAGGTACAATTTGTTTTCTTTCTCGTCTTTGACCTTTCTCATGGCCAGGGCAAATAGAGGAAAGGGTACCTTTACTTCGGGCAGGGCAGAAGGGACCTTCATCCAATCAACCCTTTCCCTTGCTGATCTCAGTCAACTCTATAGTGCCTATCGAATCCTCGGCAGTATGAAGATGTGATTGCCAAATGAGAATGAATGAATTGACCAAGCCCTCGGGATGTGTCGGGCTTTACTATCAAATGTTCGAGAATGGTGTTGTCTTCTCCTCCATACCTACCCACAGCAATACCTGGCCGCTACCCAACTGGCTCTCGCTCAACTTGTCCCGTCGGGTGGTGGGTCTTGTTTGGAATGGGAGTTATGTGGCAATAACATGGCGCCGATCAGAGAATGAATATTGATGATGCCGAGATCTAGTCAAGTTGAGCTGGCGAAGCTCGAAGGCGGCAATAGGCAAATTCACTAGGAGATTTACTTGCAAAGCCAATCTCAAGACAGTGCGGTGCTCAACCTAACACTCTCCGATGCCTAAGTCAGTATCCGGATTAGAGTAATTGGAGAGCAACATTATTGTGTGCTAGAAATTAGTGTTACCTTGTGGAAGAGTTTTCGTTCTCCATTTATGGATGGAAGATACTCGATGGTGTTAGGGCTAATAATCGATCGGTTGGGGTCAGTTTTTGGCCGACCCCGACGCCAAAATCGACCACGTCGGTTTCCCTCCGTAGCTTGGCGCCGACTGATCGGTTCGGTTGGTCGGTTTGTCAGTTTAACCGACATTTAAAAAAAAAAATTATTCAATTT